ATATAAGAGTTATTGTTCAAGTGAATAGTAAACACCTCGGATCATTCAGTTTTATTGGTAATGGCCCATTATATAATGTGACTCGCTATCATTATATAATAGAATGAGTTTTAATATGTCAATATACTCTAAATTGAATAAATTTTATCTTTACAAAATAATCAAGTTTTCAATATATTGTTTTGTTAATTGTTTTTTTTTATCTAAATTAACATAATTAGTCATGCACATGACTTAATATTATGCCGAGAGTAATTCCAGCTCTATGAACATGTTAGCCATATGTAAAACACAAGACAAACACTAGAATATCTTTTTTAAAAAGATACACACAACACTAGACCTCTCCTGCTCTTCTAAAACTTCACTCTATTCTTTCTCTCCATTATCAATTAAGTTTTAATTTGGGGTTTAAATTGATACAATTAAAAATATAAGAATGGATTGGATAATGATCCAAGTATGTGAGAATGTATTAGGTCATTTTTTTTCCTAAAAACATAAATCTTTCACCAAATTACATAACATATGTTACAACCTTTATGTTTATTATTAGTAGAGGTTATGATATATTAGTGCATCCAATATAAAATTTGAGTGGAAAAAATAAAACAAAATATTTATATCTCTAAGCACTAAGGTCCTATATGGAAATTTCAATAAATACCAATGCAGGGCAAGTTTCTATGTCTCAAGAACTTTTTTGGTATATGATACTATAGAGTTATTTTTCATAATAAGATATTTTTAAATCTTGTCTCTTATAACATGATAGTTTTAAACTTGTCTTTCATAATAAGATACTTTATGCCAAACAAGAGTCATTTCATTTTAATATATTAACATGTTAGTTTTTTCTTTTGTTAAAAAATTATATTATCGTCATGAATTACTCTCCTTTTTTACTATCTTCTCTCTGTATCAACTCATGTTCTTATGCAGCTCCTCAACAATGACCGTGTCATAATGTTTGATAAAACAGACTCTGGCTATTCGAATTTGTTGCTACTAAAAGGAAAGTGCCGCTATGATCCTGGGGAAGAAGTACACAAAATTGATTGCACTACACATTCCATAGAGTATGATGTTTTGACAAACAAATTTAGGCTTCTTATGCAGGTGCTACCATGCCTAGTGGTACTCTGATCCAAACAGGTGGTTATAAAGATGGTGCATTTAGGGTTAGGATTTTCATGCCATGTAATAGTACTATTGGTTGCGACTGGGTAGAAGTCCCAAATGGGCTTAAGATGAGTAGATGGTATGCCGCTAATCACATCCTACTAGATGGCCGACAAATTATTATTGGTGGAAGAAGACACCTCAACTATGAATTTTATCCAAAAAATAGTGCCTAGACGAGTATAGTTGTCCCTTTTTATTGCAAATCTATGATTCTTACATTGAAAACAATCTGTACCCGTTTGTTTTTCTCAATGTAAACAGAAATCTATTCATTTTCGCTAATAATCGAGCTATTTTGTTCGATTATACACAAAAAAGGTGATCAAGACTTATCTTGGGGAACCACAAAACTATCCTAGCACAGATTATGCAGCGTTGCTTCCTTTGATGTTACAAGCTGGAACAAATAATATTGTAGCTACTGAAGTTTTGGTGTGTGGAGGTGCACCCAAAGGCTCTTTTATGTAGGCGAAAATGGGTAACCATGTCAAGGCTTTAGATACATGCAGTTGAATTGTGATAACTGATGAGAATCCATAGTGGTCTATGGAAACTATGCCTCAAGGAAAGGTAATGAATGACATGATACTACTTTCTAATAGTAACATTTTGATCATAAATGGTGCAAAAGTTAGTACTACTGGGTGGGAATATGTGTGAAATCCAATCTTGAAACTTATCCTATACCAACCTAACAACAAGAGGGTCAAGATTTAAATTACAAAATCCAAGCACAATACCGAGAATGTACCATTCCACGACAAATTTGGTTCGAGATGGTAGGATTCTTGCTGGGGGTAGCAATTCTTATTGCTTTTACAATTTTGCTAGAGTCCTATTCCCAGCTTAATTAACAATATTAATATGTTAAATAACTTTTTTAGCAATTATGCTTTTCAATTATTAAAGTATTTAAACTTTAAGAAATTAGGATAAAAATAATAAGAGAGAAAGAACGTAAATTATTATTTTTTTTTATGTTTTTATTTTTTAAAATTATTATATTAAATATATATTGTAACACTTAATTAAAAAGATGACATGGATGCATACGACAAAACTATCATTTTTTTATTAATAATATTTAAAATATCTTATTTTAAAAAAATAGATTTAAAATTACTTTATTTAGAAAAAAAATCCAATACTATATTACTAAACTGTGATGAGCATAATCTAATCGATTAGGTTCTTGATATATTAACTAGCGATAATCATTATTTGTAAGGCAAGGATAACATAGAAAAATCATATAACATAGGCAAGTCGATGTTATGGCTTCTCTAAGGAATCTCTAATTTTGTTCGTTGGGTATGTTCCAAGGTAGGTTACACTGGATGGCAGAGTGTGTGGGACACATAATTATTTTGCACACCTTCGTTCTTAGGGTCCAATATTCCTTCGTTTTAAAAAATTTATTTTATCCTTCATCCGGTGAAGTAATGATGAACACCGTATCCAGAGTATCTAGAGACTCCAATCAACAAATTTTTATCTTTTTTTTTTAAAAAAAAAACCTTTTCAAAATTTTCCCTTTTCATCTGGTAAATATCAATTTCCCACCTTTGCAAACTAATTCAAAACTCAAAACGATAACGATATAATGTGATGACAATCAATTAACTCTTGGTTGGTAAGTATCCTCCCAAACTGCCATTCATTTTTTTTTTTTAAATACAAACAGATGAAAACAAATCTCAGTTAATAAGAAAAAATTCAAAAGGCATAAAAGATCAACAGGTCTTGTGCTGACTCCTGAACCTGGTGGACTTCACCAACGCACTTTCCCTTTCAGGCAATGGCGATGATAAATTTTACCCCGTACCACCAAATTTGGGTGCCTTCTAGTAATTTCAGTTATTTCAAAGGGTTTTCGAATAATGAAACGTGATTTAGAATTTAAAACGACCAAGTTACCGTATTGGGCGCCTGGATGCCACCGGGGAGGCTGATTCTCTGTCCAACGCATGGCTTTATCATTACGTCATTTCTCGGACAATTGACACGACGATCAAATTTCATGACGAAAATACCCCTTAAATTTTCAACTCTACCCTTCTCTCTATTGTTTAGGTGACCAACAATTTCCGTTTTGTTTTATTGATCTTTCTTGCGGGATGAAATTTTCCAAAAAAGGAAAGAGGAGAGATCAAGAAGCTGATTCATAATTCACTGCGAGATTAGAGATAATGTGATCTAGTCACTCAATTGGTGAGCTGCCTTTTTCACCACACGTGAAAGTTGATACTTTAGCATATGACCCACGAAATAATTTGGTATCAAGTGCGGAAGGGGCATCTTAAGATCACAGATTTTGATTGCTCACATGGGCTGTGGAGTAGCGGAAACGATTCATTTCTTGTATCCCAAGAACAAGCAATATTGTTCTACAAAATACTATCAATTAACAGTTGGATAGCAATTCTCCTAATTATCTTGAAAAGAGGAGTAGATTCTTCTTTCAAGTTATTGATCATTTTGGCATTCGAATCTTATCAATACCCAATTAATGAAGAATATAAAAGCTACCTATTTTAAACATCTTTGACTAGTGAGCCTAAAAAGAAAAAAAATCAGAGTCATTATGCAACTTATTTATTTTTATTTAATTAAAAAATAATATTTACATATAAATTGATCACATATTTAGTAAAAATACATGCATTTCATATTTACATATAAATATTTACGTTCTAATCTAAAACTAAGTGAGTTTTCTTCTAATCATTCTAATGAATTTTTAAAAATAAAATTTATTAAACTCTAATGGTTTAACCACTCTAGAATTTAAAATGAAATAATACAAAGAAAAAAAAATTATAGTATACTTTGGACATTTTGACCTATCTAAATCAAGATAATTTGAATGTTTGAAACTATGAGTTTTACTATTCTAACTGGGTTGTACTAGGATTGTCTTTTTAGTAGACATCTCTACACAAGCAGTCATTGAGACAATCAATAAAAAAAAGTTACTACTAAATTTTAATTTTTTTCTTATTTTTTATTAAAAATAATGAAATCTCTTAATTTTTATATTTGTTTCTTAGGCTGGAGAAATTGTACTCTATATTTTTTTTTTGAAAAAAAGAAGAATTTATTATGAAAATAATTCATGAATTTTATGTCGTAATTAAAGAAAAGAATACAGTTTTTCCCATACTGAATAATTTATTGAAAGAAAAAACGTTTGAGGAAGACGAGGGCAGTCATGTGATCTTAGAATCTCAGGGGCAGTTTGGAAAATGCAAAATATTCTCAATCACCGGCTGCATAAGTAAAATGAGCTGCGAAAAACAGTCACTTGACAGTAATGGAAACACAAATGCTAAGCACAAAAAGAAAAACCCCAGGGCGGTACAAAATTCAAATTCAGCAACGGAGAAAGAATTGGAAAAAAAAAAAAACAAAATAAAACCAAAACCAAACCCACAACTGTGCATATAAGCCTCATTTTCAACAACATTTTTCTTTGCTTTTAAAAGAGAGCAAGAAAGACAGAGTAGCAACTACACTACTCACTCATTCTATCTCTCTCTCTCTCTCTTTCTCTCTCTCAAAATCCCCTTCTCTCAAACGCAAAGCCAACAATAAAAACAGAAAGTTCTAGTAGATCAGCACACCAGCAAGGACATCATAGTCATTTCTCTCAGATCCATCCATTTTCTCTTCCCTGCAAGACACTGAAAGCCAGAGCAAACACTCTCTCCTGTTGTATGCTCTCGCACTGTCTCAAAAGGCAGAGAAACCTAACAAGCAGCTGTTCTTTTAGTTCAAGCATTCTTATTTATTTTCTTACTTGTTTGTTAAAAATAATGGAGAGGAGCACTCCGGTTAGGAAACCACACACTTCCACTGCAGATCTGCTCACGTGGTCCGAGACTCCGCCTGCTGATTCTCCCGCCGTTGGCTCCGCTCCTCGCTCTACTCGGTCCCACCAGGTAGCTTCATTTTAATTTTTTTATTTATTTTGGATTCATTGTCATAAAAAAAATAAATTAATTTAGAAGCTGATTAATTGTTTGGTGATTGATTTTATAGCCGTCAGATGGGATCAGTAAGGTGGTGTTTGGAGGTCAAGTTACCGAGGAGGAGTCCGAAAGCTTAAATAAACGGTGAGATCTGCTTTACTGCTGTTTTTTCCGTTACTTTTTCATGGATCTTAACAATTCATCTTTATTTCTATCACAAGCTTTCTAAATTTGGCTTTGACAAGAAAAATGAGAGAAAAGAAGATTTTTTTATTGTCTAAAATTGTAAAATTTAATCTCTTTGTTTCGCGCAATATATATATATATATATATAAACTGTCTGATTTTGGACATTTTATGCCTAATTAATCCATCTTGTTGTCCTTAGATCTGTTGAAACAAACATTTCATCAGATTTTACAGAGCTTAAAAAATATGTATATTCATAAGGTTTGTTTACACGTCTTACTATTAATATATTTAACTCGTTATTCTCTTTGATTTTGTCTTACTTCTGCCAAATATCCTCATTCAGGCAGTATAATTTCCACGCAATTTTTTTTTTTTTTGAGTCATTGATGTGGCATTAAACCATTTTTTCGTGGCTTAGAACAATACTATGACTGTTGCAGGAACAATTTTTTAGGTTTATTTTGAAATATTGAAACATCCATTTTCAAGATTGTTTTCCTAGTAGAAAATTTAGTAAAGATGGAGTCTTTTATGTCCGTATGGTTGTCAAAATCTCTGTTTTCTGATACTAAAAACTACAGTTATGTATTTGAATTGGTTAACTCTGAAATGATCAGGAAACCTTGTTCTGGGTATAAAATGAAGGAGATGACTGGCAGTGGTATTTTTGCAGCCAATGGAGAAGATGATACAGCCGAATTTGGCAGTGCCAACCCCACTCCCAACAGCAAAACAGGACTACGAATGTACCAGGTATCTATTACATCGTTGTTGATTAAATTTCTTTGAGATTACGCACAACTCATTGCCCACAGTAATGTCATTTGGCTCAAAGGATAAAAGATAGGGTAACTTATGTTTCTGTATATTGATTCTGGGGATTGCCAGCAAGCAATTGCTGGAATCAGTCACATTTCATTTGCAGAGGAAGAGAGCGTTTCTCCCAAAAAGCCTACTACTCTGCCTGAGGTGGCGAAACAGCGTGAGCTAAGTGGAACCTTAGAAAGTGAGTCCGATGCCAAGTTGAAGAAGCAGATCTCCAATGCCAAGTCTAAGGAGCTCAGTGGACATGACATCTTTGCCCCCCTCCAGAAATTTTACCACGACCGACAACTGTGCGTGCTTTGGCTCTTCAAGAAAGCATCCAATTGGGTGAACCTTCTCCACGTAATGTAAGCAATTCTGCCAAACTTCCTAATACTCTATGAATGCATAAACAAAGTGCACTTCTGTTTCCCAATCCGTTTATCTATCTTGCTTTGCAAGGGAATGTAATCGATCACATGAACTGTTTGGGAGACATGGTAATGGTTATCATTTATGTAGGCCAAAGATCATTTGCTGTTGTTTCTCGAAAGTTATCCATATTTTGCTTTTCTAAATGTTTAGGGTATATGAGAGCCCAAGCTTAGGATGACTGTTTAAACAAATAGACCTTGTTTTCCTCAATTACATGCCACATCACTAGAGGAAGTCTGTAATTTTCCTTGCAATTGGAATGACCTGCTCTTTTGTATTTTTGTCCTACACTATGAGTTGCCTGTTGTTTTCTTCTTTTTCGTCATCATTTTAATTTGAATTACAGCCTAACTGGTTCTGTGTTTTGCTTGAATTTTATAGCCTGCTGAAGGTCAAATTTCTAGTGAGGAATCAGCAGTGAAGACAGCAAAGAAAATTTACAACCAGAAATTCAATGAACTTTCAGGAAATGACATATTCAAAGGTGATGCTCCTCCATCATCTGCAGAGAAACCTCTAAGTGTGGCAAAATTGCGAGAGATGAGTGGCAGTGATATATTTTCTGATGGGAAGGCAGAGTCGAGAGACTACCTAGGTGGTGTACGCAAGCCCCCTGGCGGCGAGAGCAGCATTGCCTTGGTTTAATTTATTAGGTCTAACCCCGTTATTTTCTCTCTCTGTCCGGTTTTGTTTATTGCTAGTGGGGATGTGTTACTATATTACTTGACCTTGCATTGTGGGTTTTGGGAATTATGTTTTAGGACTTAACACGGCAACCAGTGTTGTGGACTGTGCTAATTGGATTGTATGTCCATACTCGTGTTTTTCAGTGCTTGTTTTAGTGAAGTACTTGGCCTGTTCACCAGAGTTCATTTTGTTACTTACGATTATATTGCCATCATTATTGTTTGTGATTCATTCCGATGAACTACTTTCTTGTCCTCACTAAGCGCATTTATAACCCTGCGGAAGATTGTTTTGTGTTTTTTGAACATTTAAATGTATAGTTGATGTTGTCATTTTATTATTTTCCCGACCTTCAGAGGATAAGAGGGTGCAAGTCCCTGAAGACATCGACTAGAATAACTGTAATCATAGTTTTGTAGCCCTCAGATTGTCATGTTTGTACTATGCGTTTTAAGTCCAATGCTTCTATCTGTTGGTTTATGCATTCAAGGGCATTTTTATTGTTAATTCATTTGAATATATTTTAGTTTTCATCCGTCGAATATATCTATTTCAAGTTTGATGGTAGATGCGATGGTCATCGGATTGCTGATGAATCTCATTGTTATGTCAACGGCGAAATGTCTCTGAAATAGCTTCTATTAGGCTGCCTCGTGTTAACCTTCACAACGGCAAATTCCACCATTGTCATGGTGGGAGCCATTATTTCAACCCTATCAGTATGGACAACTGCATGCTATTTGAAATATTTGCGCCTTTGATATGGAAACTAGTTATAATTCCAATCAGGGAAATTTTCGGTTATTATACGGCCACCACCGGCTCTGTAGTATGTCGCATAAAACGGCAGAGCTAATTAATGCATCTCCTCACCAACTGTCCACTGTTCCCTATGTTTTCGTGTTGTTTCTTGCCCGATCCTACGTCTCTGCCTCCTTTGTCTTGTTCAGCCAGGAGAGCAGAGTTCTCCATCAATTGGAGAAGATGAAAGGGTGAAAATTAGTCTTTTTGTTCCTAATAAATACATTCTTTAGTCTATTTTAAAAATTTGTTAATTATTATATCATATTAATAATTTTTTTCATAGTTTTTTATTAAAAAAATCATTAGTTATTAAATATATTCATGCATTACATAAAATTAATATTAATTTTAAAAAACATATTCAAAATTAAAGCGGTTAATGAAAAATATTAAATTAATTAATGATCAAATTTAAAATAATTATGAAAAATAACATATTAATAGAAATATTTTACTCCTAAATTTTCACATGTAGTAAAATCTCTACAAAATAAATATTTTTCATGCAACAAAAACTCTCTCTTTAAATTTTTTACGTTAAATATATTTATATGCACAAGGAAAAAAATATAAAAAAAATGTTCATTTCTGTTAGTAAAGATCACGACAAAAAGAATTGATTTTTTTATCAATTAAAAATATTTGAAATAAGTATATTATTTAAAATTTTAACTAATGAAATATTTTAAAATATACATAAATAAAAAATGGAACAATCTATTTGGACCCTAGGCAATAAAAAACAAGAAAAAAAGTCTTTGTTTTGGGATTGGCATGTGGAACTGTCACTGAAAACAAGTTTCAAAGTATTTTGAAACAGCTCAAGAAAATCAAGTCATTTCTACCATAACTCATAGCTGAGTGTGTGTTTCTGTTGAATATTTTATTTTATAGTGTATCAGAATGAGTTTGGTTGCTTGAGAAAAAAATGCCCCTGGATATCAACTGACTCAGCCGAAATGTGACAGAATCAAAGAACAGAAAGTCATGATGGTTTCTTTCTTGTGCAACAAGTCAGGAAACATCCGGTCTGGTCACTCTAAAACTTTATTTATTTTCTTTGATTTTCTCTCTTTTTAGTATTTTAAAAAATATTATTATTACTATTATTTTTGTTTTCTTAAGTAGTTCCGGTATAAACTAAAAACCTCTAAATCTAAAAGCAAGACACTCCAAGGGTTGTTTTATCCGATGGGAACACTTCTATTGCAAGTTGCAATAATCAGAGGCCTCACTCTCTCTCTCTCAATGAATCAAGAATAACCCTCGCATCAATCACAATAGCATCTGATTGATTCATGCTTAACACCTGAAAACTGAAATAATTATTTCAAAAAAACAAATAGCTTCTAGGCGAAGTTATACACCACAAAAAAAAAAAAAAATCAACTTAAAAGGATTTATTTATTATTATTATTATTTTAGAATAACTTAAAGAGGAAGTTGATATTGAAACCAAGTCAACACCATCCAATGAGAAAATCAAGGTCATCTGTTTGTACCAAAGATACTATTAACAAACAGATGGTAAAAGAAAAAGAAAAAATCATCAAATAATAATTAAAAAAACCCTTAAAAAAGAGTCCTAGTCAGATCAGATCCTTTCATTTTCTTGGCAGTGCCTTTTCTGTGTGTGTGTGTGTAGTGCCGACTCAACTTCATTGTGATGGTGTGAGCGTGAACAGTCAGTAACAGACCGTACTACACCGCCCTGCCCTCCCTTCACAAAAACAAAACTGCCAATTAAAAACAAAACAAAATCCATCTCTACGTTTTTTATTCTTCTTATTACTAGCTCTCTTCACCTTCACAAAACCCAAATCCCAACAATACAGACAACAAACGAGATTCATTTAAATTCTTTCATCACACCCCCGCCTAAAAAAAGAAAGAAGAAAACCCTCAAACACTGTGTAATTTGTTATTGTTTTTTCTAAGCTCCATGTTTAGCGTTTTCATATAGATTTCAGTTGTGGGTTTTGGGTTTCTTTTTCTTTCCCCACAAAAGTTGTCTTTGTTTTCTTGAAAAAATATTAAGTATCTTTGTAAAAGTGATCTAGACAGACATATTGTCTATATATATATAAATTTTTTTTTGTTTGTACATTTGATGATGATGGTGTATAAACAACAATCTGAGAGAGAAAAGAGGGCTATGGAGAAGATGAAGACGAGAGAAGAAGAGCTGTTGGATGAGGGAGGACTTAGTGGGTCATATTTGAGGCTTCTGCATAAGAAGCCACTTTTGGGTGGTTATCCTTTGAGCAAAAGTAGTGTATCATTGCAATCATCACCTGAGTTTTCTCCTTCTTCAAGTTCTTTCTCAAACGGGTTTTGCTCATATGGGTTCTGCTCTTCTGAGGATGGTTCAGGTTCACCATATGCAACAGCTCCTCCTCCTCCTCCTCCTTTATTTGAGGAGGCTAAGTTTCATCAATCACCAAGTTACCTTTACTTTAATGGACTGAGTTTGGATGATTCTAAATCACCTCATAACATCAATGGTTTGTCTCAAGGTTTTGTTAGAATGAATATTGGAGAAGACCATAATGTTGGTGCTAAAATGAAGGGATTTGAGACGGACCCACATGATGATGTTTTTGGGTTTGGTTTTGGTAATGCTGGTACTGATGGTTCTCTAGGTGGCGGTTTTGTACCATATAATGTTAAAAAGCATAGCTCTTATGGTGGTTTTAACAACCGGGATTTTAGCAATGGGGGTTTTGATATGGAAAACTTTCAATCATCTCCTCATGGAGTTTCTTTGAGTTGTGATGATGTTATGAGATGTAGATTTAATAGGTTTGAAAAGGGTGGTTTTCATTCAGTGGAGTCTTTTCTTGCTCATAATCATCAGTCCGATTATCTGTGTTCTGGCTCTGGTTGGTATAAAAACCAGAGGGATTGTCTCTTGGAGCGAAGGAAAGAACACGGAAGAACATGGAGTAATGAGGGGACTCATCAATTGCAGAACCCATCTAGCACTAGACCTTACATTAATTATGCTCTTGTTGGCCCTCAGCAATATACAATGGATTCTAATGGAGGCAGGGATGTCATGGATCCATTGGGATCCTCTCAGTTAAATGGTCATGATCCATTATGTAAAAGTCTGCTGTTAAAGAGAAGGACTAGATCAAGCACTGACAATGGGATTCCTCAGTCTCTCATATCTACGGAAGGTGCAGGGGACATGGAAAATCTTTGCAGTGAGGATAGTTTCATTATACAAGGGGGAGGCCTCAATCATAGAGGACATGATTCTTTGAGAGATCACAAAAAGAATCAGTTCAATGCGATAGCTGTGCGGAACCTGCGAGGCAAAAGCATTAGACCAGACGATTGTTTTCTTCCTGGAGGGACATGTGAAAATGGTCAGAAACTGAGTAGTTATAGCCCATTGGCAATGGCTCCAAGTTCCTTGAATGAGTTCCAGGGTTATATACACTTAATGGCGCAAGATCAGAATGGTTGCCTTTTCTTACAAAAGATTTTTGAAGAGGGAACAAGCCAAGATATCGATCTAATATTTGATGAAATTATTGACCATGTTGTTGAACTTATGTTGAAGCCATTTGGAAATTATGTCGTCCAGAAGCTACTGGATGTGTGCGATGAGAAACATAGATGGCTGATAGTGCGCATGGTCACCTATGAGCCAGGACAGCTTGTTAGAATTTGCTTAAACACATATGGGTAATTTCTATACCTTGGATTGTTGCTTTTTAAATTTGTAGATTGTTGATAGTCATAGAAAAAATTTATTGCATGTTCATTTCTTTTTATGGTCCCGTGGTTCCAGCACACGAGTAGTGCAGAGGTTGATCGAGACTCTCACAACCAGGCAGCAGATTTCTTCAGTAATATTGGCCCTGAAACCTGGTGTGCTTGATCTTGTCAAGGATCAGAATGGCAATCATGTGATCCAGCGTTGTTTGAGCCTCCTGAGCAATGAAGATAACAAGGTACAACCTTGAGTTACCTCTTTGATGCTATTGTAACACAAGAATGCAGATATTCCTCGGGTTAAAACACTCTCATGCATAATACTCTAGTTTTGACTAAGCTTCTCATTTTATCAACTTTACATCAAGGCATGCATCTTTCTTTTCTCTTTTCAAATTTAGAACATATAAACTGAAGATCTGCATGATCTCACACCAACAATTTGACCACTTGTTGAAGCTCAATTGTTGACCATATGATTCGTTATAATTACGACTTTCTAGTATCAGTCTGTGACTTGAATCTTTGTGCGGTTGATAGTGGTGGCTAGTCCTAGCTGATTGAGCTAGCAACTAAAAACATACTTCGAAATCCTTAACTTTTTTTTATGTGCTAGGAATAGATTTCAATTTCATGTAAACTTTGCGTTCTGCTAAAATCATTCCTACTTAGTGTGTGTTGTCTGTTGAAAAACGGTCTGAAGTATGCCGAAAATTAACACCATAAGCCAAGCGCATGCCTCTATCAGCAAATAGGGGAAATGCTGAAGAAACATCTAACCATCGGAAACGGGAAGAAACATCTAAAGAAGGATTGCCTACTCTAAATTTTAACATTGCCACATTTGCACAATCTTAAAGCTATCTTAAGCACCAACTTTTTTTTTTTTTTTTTTTTTTTTATCTTTAGAATTCTATTCGTTATACACTGTCAATAGCATGCATCACTAAAATGAATTTTCCGGGCATTCTCAGATCTTTTGACATATAATCTGGTTATATGCTGCTAGCTTTATTGGTATAAAATTTTCAATTCAAACTATCATTCCAGGCTCTGTACAGTTACCTTATAATAAAAACTGTCCGTTATTTACTTGGGTGATTTGCATTGGACCTCTGCCATATATACATCCTAACAGATTCTGCAACTTGCTCTGTCCTCATTTCTGTTGATCATGCTTTGCAGTTTATTTTTGACGCTGCGACAAAGTTTTGTGTTGAGATTGCAACTCATCGACATGGATGCTGTGTGATGCAACGGTGCATTGCACATGCCACTGGCAAACATAGGGAGAAGTTAATGACTGAAATTTCTAAGAACGGACTTCTTCTGGCACAAGATCCTTTCGGGTAAATCGTTGCAAGTGTTTGAACTATATGGTTTTGTTATTTCTGCCTTTTATGTGTTGATCACACACCAGTACTGATGGTAGTTCAGATTACCATAAGATGCGCATTCTACTTTATTTCGTAATATCAAATAGTTTCAATGACTAAGGATGTATGGTGGCATGGCTTAATTGAGGTGCGTCATTTAATAATAAATGATATTTATGCTACCATGTCATTGCATTTGTTTTAAGTGATTCTTTAGTTCTATAAGATAGTTCACACTGACTTCACTGTTGAAGTTATTCGAGTCATTGATCTGTTGATTACAATGTCCTTGGGCGTCACTCCTTTACTGTTTCTGTCCACTCAAACGAAATTAATTAGATATATTAGTTGAGACGAGAGGTACAATTAGGTTTAGATACATTGGCTGAGTAGAGTATGGTACTCACAATTTCAATGATCGGATACCCTGGATCAAATTAAACGTAGCTAGTTAAGAACGCTTGTGTACTCTGCCCTTTCCTTTAAACTGAACTACCATGTTTTCATGACCAATTCAGATCTCTTAAGTTTCTTCATACATCCCATTGTCTTGATGGATGGTTTCCTATCTGCTAACTTATCTCCCACAATTTTTCTTGGGTTCACTTTTTTCATCCATTGATCTTAACATTTGCAACACTATATCGTACCTTCTCATTGTTTTGGCTGCGCAAGGAATAGTGATTTAGTTGTCATCGATATCCATAAACTGTGAGAGTGGCAAGACAAACTTCTATATGAACCTTGATGAGAGCTTTGGATTTGATTATAGAGGGGCATGGAAACATATGCTTATCAATGTAAATGCTTTAATTTCAAGTCATTCGCTATTTTAGTTTTATTTATATTCTTATTTTATTTATTTATTTATTGCATTTTATTACCAGTAACTTTAAAACTCCACTGAACAAAATTTAGCACCAGAATTGGTTGTTTCTATTCAGTATCTGGGATTTAACTCTCTCTGACTCTGAATGTGCTTTATGTGTCGCCAGAAATTATGTTGTCCAGTACATTATGGATCTTAAGAGCCCACGTTGCATTGCCATATTGCTTTCTCAATTCAAAGGGAACTACGTGCACCTCTCCACGCAGAAATTTGGCAGCCATGTGGTTGAGAGGTGCCTTGGGCATTTTGAAGAGAGCCGGTTACAAATTGTTCTCGAACTGGTCTCAGTGCCTCACTTTGAACAGCTGCTGCAAGATCCATTTGCAAACTATGTCATTCAATGTGCTTTAGCAGTTACAAAGGTCTAGAAACCAAGAACCCTTAACTTTGTGAACATTCTATCGCATTTAATAATGTTGTTACAAACTCATTTTCTTCTCAATAGCAGGGTGCTCTTCATTCTTCACTAGTCGAAGCAGTCCGACCACACACGATGTTACGCACCAACCCATATTGTAAGAGAATTTTCTCACGCAACCTGTTGAAGAAATGATGTAATCTATCTGTAGGAAGAAGTGTTGTGCATTCAGAGCTACAACCTTGTTCACTACCAATAAATTTTGTTAGGACTGCTCGATGTTGAATGTCAATCACAATTTGCTAGCGCTACCCTGGTGAGAAGTGCACAGCGGGCTCTTTGGAAGTCGATGGCCTCCATGATTCTGAGAGCACAAACGGAAAGTTATCTTCTAATGGTTTATGATGCAGATAGAACTTGTATTATTTTGTTGTCATGTTCATCCAAACATAGATTGTAATATATGTCACGTGGTAAGAACCTGAAGTTTCTTGTTTCCGAAGTTTTGTAACTTGGGGATGGCCGGATTACCTTCCTGTCATCTCTTATCTTTGTTTGTCAGATTAGATAAGTTGATGCACTCCCCCATCTGTTTAGTCTCTTCGCAACAGCTTGAAATGCATGGATGAAAAGACATTTGTTTATTTTTGAATATGAAAATGAGGGGGCCTGGAGCTTCTTGTGATTAGATTGCATTGTGGTTATAATGATAAATATCAAAAGCAAGCCCAAAACATACCTTCATTATTCAATTGCTGACTCCCTCCCTCCACTTAAATTAGCAAGCATCCACCCGCATATCTGGCAACCATGGCCTTTAAGATAAAAGGCCTGGAGCTTCTTGTGATCAGATTGTCTGTTGTTTTAAGATAAAAGGCTCAAGTTTTAGACGATTTAAAATACGTACTTCATGGATGAAGGAGAGCGAGGACCAATCAGGTGAGTGGTGTACATAATTAGGGACTCTTTAAAAGGGCAAATATTTTATTAATTGACCTCAGGTCAAGTTTTTAAAAACCAGCAAATAGACATGCATAAGACTGACAACAGACTTCATCATACAAACACGATAAAAAGAAGTAGGAAGGCAAAACAGGAAAAAACTAATTGCCCTGTAGCAGAATCATATGTTGAAATATTTGTTGCAGCTTAGGCATCTTCGTGTCCCACTAATTCCAGAAGTAGTTTTTCATAGTCGCCATGAGTGTCCTTGACAATGGCACGATCCAGAGGTATACTGTTCCTTCGCTGGTATTCATCTTTTATGGCCTTCATGTCAACCTCTGCCCTTGTAGCGACAACTCTAGTCAGAGCACCTTCATCTGTTCCTCTTTTGTTGACCGCCAAACGAAGAACCTTCTCAAAGTACTTCTCAGGGCGCGTCAAGCACTTAACTGTGGCCCTCAGCAATGCAAGGAACTCATCCTTAGGATCGGCTTTCAAGTCCTTCAAATATAGATGCCCATTAAGGAATTAGCAATTGATGATCAAGTAACAAAAAGCCTAAATATAAGACTAGGCTTACTAAGAAGATGAAACTCCCAGCTTCTATGAGGCCTATAAAAGCAAATCTAGGATGAGTTGTGGATTTGAGGTTGGACTGGAGGGGATAATGCTAACTATATGCTGTGGAAAAAAGTTGGCATACAGTAAAGCTCAATTCTTGCGTACCTTGTTGATATCATTACCGAATCCATTTTTGTACTGATTCAGAGTAGCATTGATCTGTGCTTTGCTCCTGGTAGCCAAAATCCTGATGAGCTCCTCATCACTGTAAGCCTTATTTGAAATCTTCTCGTGGAGTATCTTAGCCTCTGATTTTGCAAGGGTCATGTTCACCTCGTCTCCCTCATAACGGTAAGAGGACACAAGAGGAAACAGAAGCTGGGTAGCACAAACGTGACAAGCATGAAGCAACAACCACAAAATATTTTTCCCTAACATTGAGTACAGGCAGAAAGGATTGAATTGCCACACACAAGAAAAGAGACAAAAATGATCTCTAGCAAATAGACAGAAAATACTAAACAACTGAATAATGAAAATCTACATGAAAAGTTCGCAAGGCAATTAAAATTGATGCTTTTAGTAAATTCACAAAATCTGTGAGGACAAATGATTGCCAACGTGTAACAATTCAGTAAGTCTAGAAGCTGTACCTTGCGGAAGTCCCCACTTGTGTGATGTGCAACATCCTCTTCAAGGGACTTCTTAAAACGAGCATGATAAGCCTGCTTTGCAAGAAGCAGTTCATCGGAAGACCTTGTGCAGGCAATCTCCATAAGTACCTGATTGCTCGAAGTCCATCTCTTTGTAGCCTCATTTGCCAAAAAAGCATCCCTTTCAGCAGGATCGAGGGTCCAAAGCAGCACCAGCCTCTAACCACAAGGAAATTGGAAAATCACAGTACCAATGTTAGACTTCAATTGTGTGTGTCTGTGTGTGTGTGTATATATATATATATATATAGAGAGAGAGAGAGAGAGAGAGAACAGAGTCATTAGGTAGTTCATTGGAAGACAAGGAGGAGAAACAGAGAAAGCATTGAAGTCTTAGTCTCCAACTCTGACCTCAAAATCATTTGAAAGTTCCTTGTCCAATGCCTTCAGAAGATCTTCCCCATAAGCCTCAGCATATGCCTGTCGAATCAGCTTGCGTTGAGCAGCATTCCTATGACCCAATATGGATATGATCAACCCCTCATTTGTCCCCCATCCTGCAATCAAAATGGTAAAATCATCCAATTATACAGTGATTTTCACTCTCTCACTTGAATGAAAAGGAAACCTCTCTACATTTTTTTGGTTACATACACAAATCTGGATTACAATTTAATTTAAAATTCCAAATAATCAAAATCTACAATAAAATACACTTCTGTTAAAGAAACCAAGACTTTGAAGAGAAAAAGGTCCAAATAGGCCTGATTTGCCAAATAATCATAGATCAACTGATTCTAAAACTATTTATGCTCTAATCATCCTCCTCTAACTTGAAGATCAACTAAATCATCTCACTATACAGACATATACATACATACCAACATGTGTATTCGCAAATGTTCCTGACTGTATTTCATGATCAAGATCGGGAACAGATCATCACCATCAGATCAAACATATAAACCTCCAAATATCAAATCACACCAAGAACATTTGTCCTCAACCACGTATGTACTATTAAAAAACAAGAGAACCACTACATATCGTGTGAATCAAAAGTAGATTAAAGCAACAGGGCACGTATATGATCGGAGAAAAACAAAAACATTGCTAGAGTAGTAAAAGAAAGAAAGAAAAAGACCTGAGAAGGCTTTTCTCAGCTGCTCAACGTCTTCAGACACAGGAGGGACTTGTTGAGGAACTGTAAGAGTCGACATTATTGGATTTAGATGATTCTTTCGATCTCTCTCTCTGTTCTGTTTGTACTCGAAAACGAAAAAAAAAATACCAGATTGAGCTCTTGTCTGTCCTACTCCGAAGTCCTTCCTGCCTTTTAAAGGCACCAACATAGCTCGGGAGGTGATATTGGCACTACGTGTATGACAGCCAGACTCTTTAATCCCTAGCACTTTCGCTTATTTATTTATTATGAAATGATAAAATGATCATGTATTTAATATTCTACTTCTGCTGACTGCTGAGTACTGATACAGAAAACAAGTAAATTATAATTTAGTACTTTTAGTTTTAAAAAATGATTTATATAGTCCATATAGCTTCAAAATATATATATATATATGATAGTAATCCATATATTTTTAAATTTATTAGTAACTTAATTTTATTTTTTTTTGGATTTTTCATCCTTTTCTTATATGTTTTAATTTTGTATTTTTATTAGCCACTAGCTAGCTTCTTTCTAATTAATTTAATCTTGATTTTCATATAAAAAAATAATCTTTTTCTTCCTCTTTCAATTTTTTTTATTTTTTTATTTATTATAAAATATAAGTAAAAAATATGATTGATGAAAAATTAATACATTTTTAATTTAATAATACTTTATTCCAAAATTATATATTTTTTTCAATTTAATAACACTTCTTGACCATATAAATAATATGCTAAAAATTAAATAATACTGATAGAAATTTTATGGTACTAAAAAAATAATTAATAATACTTCCTCTATTAAAAAAATTGAAAAAAAAAGATTAAATTATAAAACTATTTAAAATATAAAGATTAATTAATTAATTAATTTTGAAAACTATAGGGACTATTTAATTCATTTTTGAAAAACTAAAAAAAAATAATATATAATTTACTCGTTTTACTTCACAATAATCGGAAGAAGAGAGAGCTTGACAAAATTCAGAATAATTTTATCATTTCACAAAAAAAAAAAAAAAAAAAGTGGAAAGGATTAAGGAGTGTGACTATGACTGATGGGAAATGCGTCTTTTGGTATCTTAGCCACGTGGTATTTCTACGTTATTAATACAGTTTTCTTCCTCTTCTACGTATACATGGTTATTGATATTGATGAGAAAGCAGGTTTCGTTTCTTTATTTATTGGGGTTTTACCGCCACACTTGGAGTTACACGGAGCAGGTCACTATTGGTTCAGAATGTTGTCTTATATCTCCGGCCAGTCCTTTTCAATATTTTTTCTCTATTCGTAAGTAGCTCATCTGCCGTTATAGCTCCGAGATTGAATATCTCATCCTCTAAATTCTTAGTTTGGTTATTTATGTAGAATTTGTATATTTATGGTAAATTATTTTCTTCGTAACCAAAGAAGAAAAAAACATATAACAAAGTCATCGAGACGATGATGATGGGATATTCTAGAGTGAGGCCTGTCTTTTAGGTTGCCGTTGTAGGCATGAATCATGGGATATTCTAGAGTCATCGAGACGATGATGACGAGTGAAATAGATTAGTATCCTTTCCTACCTGCCTTTCTTTCGAAAAATTATTAAATTTGGCATTTACCATGAAAGACTACACAAAAGGGATAAAGCTCATAATGAGGCTGCTTTATTATTGATTGATTGACAAATTTTTTTGAATTTCAACGAATTTTTTTCCAAAGTAAGGTTATTTTGGTTATTTAATTTTTTCTTTCAAAATAGAGCTTTTTTTTAATTTTATTTCCCAAAACAAGCTCTATTATGTCGTGTAGATTTCACCTAAGCATTTCAAACCGTTTTATTAATATATTATTAACAAAACAATTAAAAAAAAAACGATGGTTTAACGTTCTAAATATTGTTCACACATTCATATTTTATTATTTACACACTCACATTTTACTATTCATTTCACTATTTATGGTTTTTTTACACTTTGGTTCTTGATATTTTCAAACGAATATTTCGATCCACACTTTCATTTGCTCATCCATCTTGGTCCCCGGGTATAGAAAAAAGAGAGGGGGAAGAGAGAGACGAAAGGAGAGAGAGATCGTTGGCCAAACTTATTTAGGTCACTTTGGCCGATGAAAATCCATTAGCTTTTTATTTTTTATTTTTGAGAGATAAGTTTGTCCATGATTGTTTCAAGCCATTAAACAATTAAATAAGGTAGATCGGAGCCAAAAAAAAGAAAAAAATTGATTGTGGATTTTTCTTTGTTTTGGTGTAGATTAAAATGATTTTTAAGATTTTAAATGTGTGTATTGACTTTATTCCGATCATTTAGAGGTGTTTGGGAAAAAAAGATGATGCTTGGAATTCAATTTATAGGAGTCCGAAACTTGACCTCCAATTTTTCGACAACTATTCCAACAAAATCAACTTCTTCGAAGTTTCGGGTTTTTGTTTTTTTGGCAACTTGGTTGCACAAGCCAACTAGGCACATGTCCTCTTTTTTTTTTTCCTTCGTTTGTATATATATATATATTCTTTTTTTTCATAAATTTTAAAACAACAAATTATTTAAAAATTAAATAAACCAAAAGTGATAATATTAAAATAAACTAAAACTGTCATTGAATGTAATTTTAAATTAATTTGGTGAGAATTTGAAAAAAATGACAAATTAAAGTTATAGATTTTAAAAAATAAAAAAATACTAAAACAAAATGAGACTAAATCATAATACAATTAAAGTTTAAAATTTTTTTAAAAATTGTATAGAAAATAAATTTTTTATACAATACTTTTTTTTAATTTCAAACTTTAATTGTATTATGATTTGGTCTCATTTTGTTTTAGTATTTTTTGTTGATTGTTTTTATTATTTAAAATTTACTACTTTAATTTGTCATTTTAAAAAATTCTCATCCATTTAATTTAAAATTATATTAAAATATTTTTTTTTACCTTTGATTTCATATATTTTTATAAATTTATACCATAAAACAGTACTATCAAACTGAAATAATTTTTCTAAATGATTTTATATATTTTATCCAACCCACAAGCATAGCGCGGGCAAAAAATCTAGTACAATTAATTTATAATTTATTTCCATTAAATAATTTAAAAAGTAAACCTTTTCTATATCAAAAATTAAATAAATTAGAAATTTCTCCATCTTTACTTCTCTATGTCGTTTTTTCTTTTAAGAGTTTGGATATCAATTCTTATCATTATAAGTGCACTCGCATAATAATATTTTTAGAACAAAAACCTTATAAATCGATGTAAATGAGAGGCTTATATTATGTGTTTATAAGGTAAGCTATAAGGGGAAAAAAAGGTTTATTTATGATAAAAATTAATAGTTTAGTTTCAATTGATGTAAAAGCTAATTTGAAAATACCTACTATTTGCAAATATATATAAGAAAAACATACGTGTCTCATTCTAAATAAAACCATAAAACGAAAGCAAAAGCAAAAAACAGAAATTCGAGTGAAAACTTTGATACTAAATACAATAACTCATTTTAGAAAATAGATTGTATAAGCTCAATTCGTACATGAAAATTAATTAAGAATTTAATTAATTTTATTATACACTAATCTATGTTATTTATTATTATTATTTTGATATGAGTTCAAAATACATAATAAATGAACTGAACCGACGATGGATCTTGTTCGGTTCAAGGTTTTAGCATGCAAAAGAATAAATACGAGTTTTCTAGAAGGATTGGTGTCTATATTTTTCCTTAGAATGCATTAAGAATGTTGACTTGCTATACTTAGTATAGGATCTCGCTAAAAAAATTCAGTTGCTATTTTTTTAGTAGTTACTATCAAATTAAAGCAATTTAGTACAAAACATATAACTTTCTCTAGTTCAAATCATAGTGTTCAAGAATAAATGATGTGACATGATCCTAACGAGTTAAAATCCATCTTCAATTCACTATAAATATCAACCTCACTTCATTGTGAGATAATTGAAACTTTTTGATCCCTAATTTTTTATCTCTAGCAAAAAAACTTTTCACATTCTCTTTCAAAACTCTCATACTCACATACTAAACAATACCGAAAACTCCATTTGTGTTTAGACTCTCACCATTCATCTATTAGTCATTTAACTCGTATCTTACTAGTATTATCTATTTTTTCTTCCACACTTCTTGTTACTTGTATTAGAAATTTCTATATCTTTACTTCTCTCTGTCATTCTTTATTTTTAAGAGTTCTAATATCAATTCTAATCATTATAAATGCAATATGTAATGGTTTTATAACATAAACCATATAAATATGATGTAAATGAGATACATATGTTATATGTTTAAAAGGTAAATTATAAGAATACGAAGAAAGGTGTTTGGCTATGTTTGTTAGTGATAAAAATATAATAAATTTAATTTCGGTTGTGTAAAATCTAATTTGAAGATACCCATTGTGTGTGTGTGTGTGTTTAATATGTATCTCATTCTAAATAAAACCATGAAATGGAAGGAAAAAAAAAACAAATTTTTTTGTTAGTAAAGTCTAGGAAATTTAATACCAAGTACAAAAACTCATTTTAAAAAATAGATTGCATAAGCTTAATTTGTCTATAAAAATTAATTAAAATTTTAGTTAATTTTATTATGAACTAATCTTTTTTTTTTTTTACATGAGTTCAAAATGCAAAATAAATGAACTGAACTGATGATATATCTCATCTAGTACAAGGCTTTGGCATGCACAAGGATAAAATATGAATATTTTAGTAGGATTAATGTCTATTATCCTTAAAATGCATCGAAAGATTGACTTACCTGGAGTTAGAGTAAGATCTAATAAGATTAAAAAAAAATAATTCTTTTTAGTATTTACTAGTAAATTGAAGTAGTTTAACACTAAACATCTAACTTCCCCTGGTTCAAATCATAATTTCTAAAAATAAATGATTTGACATGACTTAAGAGTAAAAGTGCATCTTCAACTTACTATAAATATCAACTTCACATTATTGTGAAGGAATTGAAATTTTTTAATCCCTAATTTTTTATGTGTAGCAAAAACCTCGTCACATTC